AGTTCTTTGTCCTTGAGGCCAGTTTTGTTTGTACCAATGTGGTACCGTCTTTGACTTAAGGCTGTGTTCTTGTGCTTGCTAGGTGTTATGCAAATTGTGATATGGACGACACGACAGAAGGAATTCTATGGAGACGAGAATTTTACCATTTCTCAACTGATCTTGTTCTTTAGGCATCAGCTTAAAGTCCAGATCAGGACGGAAAGGCGATAATTTCGTCCATCAGAATTTGGTTAAAGGTGGATGAGTCTTTCTTGTCTGTGTCGAATAAAAGGAGCTGACTTAGAGTGAGATTTTGATGCCGGTTAGGCATTAAGATATCCCTGTAATAAACTTTGGCAACCACGCCCAAAATAGGGTCGTTAGGCTCGTTTTGTTTTTTAGTTTTCACTTAGCTATGGGATGAATGCTCATTGGCTCTTTTTATTTTTGTCCCCACTGTCTTTAGTTTATTTCCCCATCGTCACCCCTACTAGGTGACTAGAAATGCCAGTTCGTTTTTCGTGTAAGTTCTTTCGTAATTGTTTTCGTGTCTGAATAAGTGTATAGTTGTATGTATTGTTAATCGAATGATTGGTTTTTAATTAAACCAAGTCCCGCATTAATTTCGTTCAGTTAACTGAGATTTCTGCCACAATTAAGGATTGTGGGTTTGTTTATTACTAACACCATTTTGTTTAGTTTTTTGTATATATATTACTAGCAGCATGGCACGGCGTTGCCCGTGCTTGATTCAAAAATCGTACGACTCATACAGCAATTGCTATCACTTGACCTGAAATATTTTTGCCCTTCCTTGCCTTTAAAGGAGTGCACTTTTCCGTGCTGATGTTGCTACATGCCTTACTTCTTTCCTATCTCACACTGGGAATTTTTTCTAAGCTCTATACTAAACATTAAATCTGTTACGAAAAAAGAACTAAACAAAATGAACACAAAACGATCAGCTTTAAAAAACGACTCGCAACTAGAAAAACCGAATGAAAAAAGAATGTTAACAACAAATACTTTTTCACATCCAAACCAGTTCTGCGGAATCAGAATCAACGTTGAGTTTAAGCAAGCGAATGAGCCAATTGGAGTAAAGTGCCATGCAGACTTAATTTTTTCCCACTTGTGACAAATGCAGCTATCGATTTTTTTTGCATTTAGAATGCTAGTTAACATTCGTGTCAGTCACTTGTTGGCTCTCACGCTGACCAATAGAATCTTCCTGCCTATTCGTGGCAGCCAGCTATAGGCTCTCACTCTGGCCAATAGAAAATGGCCACAAACTACATGAAAACTGCCAAAGAAGCATGAAAAAATTGATTATTTCCACTATCGATGGGAGTTGGGAAATGCAAAGTCGGTCTTGGCCTTCTCGCTAACTTGGAGCATGTCCATGTAAATTTTGGTGCAAATCAAATTGTGCATTCGTTACACACACACACACACACACACACACACACACACACACACACACACATATCCTGCTTTTATAGATAGAGATAGGAAAAGATAAAATTATTCGTACAGTATGAAAAATAGAAAAAAAATGAACAATTTTCACAATGTTAATAGTCAATAGCATGGCCTCTCATCTTTATAACTTGCTGCAATCGTTTTCTTTAGTTTTTGATGATAATTTAACAAGTCTTTTTCTGAGATGTTCTTCCATTCTTCAAAGGTTACATGTTGTAATTAATGAAGGTTTTTTGGTGACCGACGATTTATTCGAACTTTCAATTCTTGCCATAGATTTTCACTAGGATTCAAGTCAGGACTCATTCCTTTTCTGAAGCCACGCAGTCACTGATTTAGACGTATGTTTGGGATTGTTATCTTACTGGAAAGTAAATCGCCGACCTAGATGCAAATTTTGCGCTGATAGTTGTAGGTTTTCATCCAGAATTTTGATATAGTCAGCAGATTTCACTATTCCTATTATTGCAATTAATTTTCCCGTCCCCCTTGAGCTAAACAAAAACCGTCATCGAGCCGTATCCACTATTCTTTGGGTGGAAATCCTCAGCTTTCTTGCACCAAATCTTCTATATAACATTATGTCCAAAAAGCTCAATTTTTGTTTCATCACTCAATAGTACTTGATCCCAAAAGCAATTTTCTTTGTCCAAGAACGTATTGGCAAAATTAAACCGAGTAAAAATGTTTCATGGTTTGTGAAGAGAGGCTCGTTGTGACCGGTTTCCATACAACACATTTCTATTTAAACAACGTATCCATTCTTTTGGCGATGTCTTTCAAAACAACTCTTGGGTTTATATTAACGTCGCGAAAGTTTTCGTGCAGTTAACGTTGATAATTTTGGTTTTCTTCTAGGCCAAGGCAAATTCTCTGTCTGTTCAAAGTTCTTTATGACGGACTTTACCGTAGATGCAGGTATAGATAACCGATTTGAAACTATTTCTCAACTTGTGGAAGTTAATAATTCTCTGTCTCAAGTCAACGCTAAGCTTCTTTGTCTTCCCTATTGCGTTGTTCATGTAAGAATAACAATGGTGACCCTCTATACACCACGTGATGTTCTTTGCTGGAATTATCATAAATATTCTACTGAATCTAGACAGATACACCGATTAAATAATTATGTAAATTACTTATACGAATCAACCAATTTAAAACGATATTTTCTACTGTACGAATAATTTTTCTTTTCCTATTTTGCATAATTCGCCTGTCAAATTTTTGGATTTAAACTATTGTTCTGAAAATTGGGTATTATGTCCTTTTTTGTGCTTAATAACATATATAAAACCAGGTATCATACGGGCATAATGATTCTAAGAAATGTTATATATATATATATATATATATATATATATATATATATATATATATATATATATATATAAAAATATAAAGTGTGGATGGCCCTGCACGAAGCATTCACCACTATAATCAAATCTCATGTGCCGGTGTCGGGCTGTCGGTTTCCTGAAACTGATCTGCTTGAACCTCATACGTCGAATCTCGACGGGAGAGTCGATTATATATATATATATATATATATATATATTTGTGTGTGAAGGTATATATATATATATATATATATATATATATATATATATATATATATATGTGTGTGTGTGTGTATATATATATATATATATATAATAATAAAAAGGCTTAAGCACTAATATTCCATGGTCTTTTCCTATTTTGCATAATTCGCTTGTAAGATTTGTTGTATTTAACCAATTGTTCTGAAAATTGAGTTTTATATTCCATTTTTGTGCTTGTTAGTATATGAAAAAACCTGGCATCAGACGGATATGAGGTTCTGAGAAATGGCAAAAAATATTCAAAATTGATGGGTGTACGAATAATTTCGTCGTTGACTACCTAAAACCCTTTATTCTACATTCAACATCATCACTTGATAAGACGTATTGAAACAAAATGGCTATTTTTGTCGTGTTTTATAACATATTTATGTTATATTTTTCGAATGATTAATATATATATATATATATATATATATATATATATATATATATATATTATAAATTAATTGATTTAAAATATGGTTTCTTCCGCTACACAGTTCTAACCATGTTTCAAAAATGGTTAGATCTGTGTAGCGGAAAAAAAACATTTTAAATCAACTAATTTATAATATTAATGCTCTGTAAATTTACATTGAGCACTATTTTGTAAAAATAAAATATCTATAAGAACACCGGATTATATATCTTACTGTTCTTTTTTTTTATATATATATATATATATATATATATATATATATATATATATATAGCGAGGAGAGAGACGGAGAGAGAGAGAGAGAGAGAGAGAGAGAGAGAGTAAAGAGAGAGGAAGAGAGAAAAAGAGATAGAAGGCGGCAGGAATTGCTATAAAGAGAAATGTCGGAAGAGAAAGTCAAGGGAGAAATTTAATACATATATATATATATATATATATATATATATACGTATTGTGGAAGCAGATCATTTTTCAAACAGATATTGTTAAATATAACAGACAATGAATGTCTATTATGTTTGATCCTGAGCCGTTATAAGCTTCGTATATTAGCTTTAGTTTCGGGAGATAAGGCAAAAACTGTCCGTCTTTTGGTCATTTTTTATTATACTGTTTCTATATATATATATATATATATATATATATATATATATATATATATATATATATATATATATATATATATATATATATATATACATACATACATACATATATATATATATATATATATATATATATATATATATATATATATATATATATATATATATATATATATATATATATATATATATATATATATTCACAATACTTATCTATAACCGAGCAAATGTTAACGCATAATCAGATAAGAATATTGTATTATTGACCGAATATAATAATATAAACATTTATTAAATACGCTAAATTATAATATTTTCTATAGGCAAGTGTGGTAAAGATGCTAGAGGACAATATAAATGAAACAATAGAAGCTTAAAGAGAGATGAACGAGGTTAGAAAGAAAAAGTGTGAATCCTAGTTCTTTGAGAGAGAGAGAGAGAGAGAGAGAGAGAGAGAGAGAGAGAGGGGGAATAGGGAGAAAGAAAAGGAGAGTATATATATGTATATATATATATATATATATGAAGAAAAATATATACGGAAAAACAAACAAAAAATCCTTATATACAATTATGCTGTTTTAATGTTAATATGTCAACGTCGGACGTTTCGGTCTAATAAACCATCTTCAGGACATATTCATAAATTATAACATTATCAATACAACATGATATTTATGAATATGTCCTGAAGATGGTTTATTAGACCGAAACGTCCGACGTTGACATATTAACATTAAAACTGCATAATTGTATATAAGGATTTTGTTTGTTTTTTCCGTATATATTTTTTCTTCATACTGTCGGATCTATATCCATATATTTGCTTACATATATATATATATATATATATATATATATATATATATATATATATATATATATATATATATATATAAAATATATATATTATAATGAAAAAACAGACACAGATTGAGATAGATAGATAGATAGATAGATAGATAGATAGATAGATAGATAGATAAAATATAAAAATAGGACGATAATCGCTCTCCACAACATCCTGTCTTCTGTTGTTCTGAGTAACTTCCTACTCTTTACCATCAGTCTTCGAACTTGTCCTGACACCTATTCACCTTTACTTGCTAAGTATCTTACTAGAGTTTTTCCCCCTCCTCTTGGCTTCAGTCTGTCCTGTGCATATTAAATTCTCCAGGCGCTCTATCCTAATCAAGTGCCCCAGAAATCTGTATTTTTCTTCTTGCAAGTATCAGTTTCTTTGCAGTTCCTACTTTCCTTGAATTCTTCCCCACTATTCACATGTTCTGCCCATAGTATTCTGAGCAGTCATCGGAAGGACTACATCTTTGTGACTTCAAATATGTTCTTTATTTCCGAAGAGAGATTGCCCAGTATTCACTGCCATACAGGATATTAGATATTAAATAGCAGTTCAGCATTTTTCTTTGTTTCTTAGGGCATTTTCCTATTTGCTTTGCTTAGTTTCAGAAACGTATCTTTCGCTATTCTTAACCTCTTCAGACTTCTGTATCTCATTTTTCAATCGTTTGTTAGTACGCCATCCAGATAATTAAAATGTTGTCACTGCTTAGATTTGACGTCATCAATATATAGTTCACATCTTGAGTTGTTTCTCTTGCTGAAAGCAATGCATTTTATCTTTTATGTTCCTACAGATAACAATTATTTTACACCTTACAACCCCTTTCTCAAGGACGAAACGTCGCAATCATCTCGCTGCTTTATCGTTGTTTTCATGGAAATTGCTCCGAAAACTACATTCCTTAGTTCAAACCATTTCGAACTTTTCCGGCTAAAACCCGCCATGCCATGTACATTGCAGCGAACCATCCTCATTCCCTCTTTATTTCATTGGTGAGATGTAGGTTCTAATCGAACCCTTTTTCCCACGAACCACTGCTTTGTGGAAACGACTCCCAAGAGGATGATTCCCCGATCACTACAATCTTAACCTATTCAAGACTAGGTTTAACAATTTATCTTCCCAATATATCAACATAATCTGTGCCGTTTACTCCTGTAAACTTCTGCTTTGAGTGGCTCTCGGGCTTTGAACAAGGTGAATATCATTGTAAATAAACACCCAGTTAGTCCTTTATTCTTGCTTTCCTTTATTATCTTGTCTAAGAGTTCTTTCCGTTTCCTTTGTGAGTCAGCTATCAACACGATGTCAACTGCTTATCTGACGGTGTTAATATTATTCCGATAATTTATTTTTGTATGTCTTCTAGGATAGTCTCTCTGTATAGGTTAAATAAACCTAGTGAGAAAACTTAGCATTGTCTTACTTCTCTTTCTATTTTTGTTTATTCACTGAACTCCTGTATCCCCGTACAGGGTGCTTGTTCCCAATAGAGCCTACAGATTATTCGGATATCTTTCTCTTTAAATCAAGCTTTTCTTGTACTTCAAGTAGCTCTTTGTGTCGTAATTCATCAAATGACTTGGCATCTAGGTCTAGGTCTCGCTCTGGTAGAATTCTGAGAGTAAAAGAAGAAAGCCATATTGTTCGGCCCTATTTCCGATTTAACAATGGTACGATCTCTGGCAATAATGATATTTTGTTTTGAGTGAGGAAGCTGATTGTTAGATGGAGTTGTTATTTGACAAGAGCGAAACGCAGAGATAGAAATAATATAAAAAAAAAAAAAAAAAAAAAGAAGAGAGAGAGAGAGAGAGAGAGAGAGAGAGTGAGGTAGATGTAACAAGAGAGAGTCGAATATAAGGAAACAATCTAGTCTATGTGTGTATAAAAGAGAAAGCGAGAGAGAGAGAGAGAGAAAAGAAAATAGATTATGACAGAAAGAATTGAGTACTATATAGTACTATAGATAAGAAACGGGAATAGTGCTAAACACACACACACACACAGAGAGAGAGAGAGAGAGAGAGAGAGATAACGAGAAAGATATACTAAATAATGTCAAGAAAAAAAGAGTCAAACAGCAACAGAGAGAGATGTAGTGAATTGAATAATACAGAGAGAGAGAGCGGGGGGAGAAAGAGAGATAGGTTATAGACATACTGAGTGAAAAGTAGAGAAATAAGAGGAGGAAGATAAAAAAGATAAGAAAAAGAGAAAAAAGAGGGAGAAACCTGTGAGAACGAATGAAAAAAAAAAGATCAGGAAACTCATAGTAAGAGAAAAGAGGGAGTAAGGAGAAAGTGGAAGGGCAAGAAAGGAAGAGATACGCGATACGCATGTACAGAAAAGAGATTAAATAGCCAGAGAGAGAGAGAGAGAGAGAGAGAGAGAGAGAGAACGAGATAGATAGATAACGAAGAGAAGGATAGATAGATAGATAACGAAGAGACAAGGATAGATAGATAGATAGATAGGAGACAGACAGACAGACAGAGAGAGTGACAGAAATAGAGTGAGGGAAGAAAGCTAGCAAGTAAATAAGAGAGAGACGGGAAGGAAGGAAGGATGAAAGAGAAAAATCCTTCTGAGAGGGGAAAGAGAAGAAAGAGAGAGAGAGAAGGGGAAAAAAGGTGGGAGGATGCAAGAAAAAAAAAAAAAAAAGACAGAGAAGAAGGCTGGAAAGAAAGATGAGGGAAGACAGAAAAAAAGAAAGGTGAAAAAAAGAGAAGAACGGGAGAAAGAAAGAGCGACAGAAAGAGAAAGAAAAAGAAAGTGTAAAGCGTTAATCAGAGATCGATCGATCGATAGATAGATAGATAGATAGATAGATAGATAGATAGATATGAACAGACTGAGATAGATAGATAGATAGATAGATAGATAGATATGAACAGACTGAGATAGATAGAAACAGACAGATATTAACAGACTGAGATAGATAGATAGATAGATAAAGAGAGAGAGAGAGAGGGAGAGAGATATGAACAGACTGAGATAGATAGATAGATAGATATGAACAGACTGAGATAGATAGATAGATATGAACAGACTGAGATAGATAGATAGATAGATAGATAGATAGATAGATAGAAACAGACTGAGATAGATAGATAGAAACAGACAGATATTAACAGACTGAGATAGATAGAGAGAGAGAGAGAGAGAGAGAGGGAGAGGGAGAGAGAGATATGAACAAGACTGAGATAGATAGATAGATAGATAGATAGATAGATAGATAGATAGATATGAAAAGACGAAGAGATAGATAGATAGATAGATAGATAGATAGATAGATAGATATGAACAGACTGAGATAGATAGATAGATAGATAGATAGATAGATAGATAGATATGAACAGACTGAGATAGATAGATAGAAACAGACAGATATTAACAGACTGAGATAGATAGATAGATAGATAGAGAGAGAGAGAGAAAGAGAGAGAGAGAGAGATATGAACAGACTGAGATAGATAGATAGATGTGAAAAGACGAAGAGATAGATAGATAGATAGATAGATATGAAAAGACGAAGAGATAGATAGATAGAAGGATAGATAGATAGATAGATATGAACAGACTGAGATAGATAGATAGATAGATAGATAGATAGATAGATAGATAGATATGAACAGACTGAGATAGATAGATAGAAACAGACAGATATTAACAGACTGAGATAGATAGATAGATAGATAGAGAGAGAGAGAGAAAGAGAGAGAGAAAGAAGAAGAAGAAGAAAAAGAAGAAGGAGAACAAGAATGAAGAAAAAGAAAGGATGAAAGGAGAGAGCGATGAGATGAACGAGAAGCTTTTAATAGTAACACTTTAACCAATCGTAGGGTGTGTGAGAATTTTCCTCATCACCAACAGATTCGATCGACCGAAGAGAAGAGAAAGAAGAAACAGAAGAAGTGGGTGGGGGGTGCGGGGCATAAAATGAACCCTCCTCCTTCCACACCACAAAAAAATATCAAAAAAGAAAGAAAGAAAGAAAAAAAAAAACAAAACAAAATCTTAAACCCAAAGATTGCAATCACGAAATTCTAAATGTCACCCTGTGCAAGAAAAATTCCACTCAGAACCTTGTTATGTCTGCAAGGAAAGGATATTGATATTCTTACGAAGCATGAGAATTGAACATTTGGACCACTGTGAAGCGGTTGAGCAATGGAGAGGGGGATAGGGGGTTGAGAAGGGACAAGCTTTTAGGTGGCTACCATCTGCCTCCACGCCTTCAACACTTTACTTCATCATCCACGGCCTCTTGCCTCTGCTTGTTCTGTTACCCCAACATCGTCCATCGAATTTTGCTTCACTCTTCTCTCTCGACCTGCCTGGCACCAATCAGTATTTGGGAGGGTAGCACAAATTCTTAAATTGGTTTGGGCCTATGAATGGGCATCGAGACTAGTGACGGTTGGTTTTCATTCAATAAAGTCCGTATATTAATGTTTACAGCACCTCCAAGTGTTTCTTTTTATTTGTTTTAATATAACGTGTCCCTTGAGGATAGGAGTGATCATTGCTCTCCACAACAGCCTATTTTTTGTCTATCACCTTACTCTCCCTCGCAATCTCTGTTCTGCTATACATTTATACAAACTTCTCACTTGGTTACTCACTGTTTTACTCTATCCATCTTGCCTTCAGTACGCCATGTGAGTGTTAAAATTTCTAAGCCTCTTTAAGGACCCAAGAAATTTCAATCGTCTCTTTCTGATTCTGACTGTGTCATTTTTGTTCCAATCTTCGTTAAAGCTTTCTCGTTACTGTCATTTTAAGTTTATGATATTCTCAACAACCTCCAAAGTTTTCCTTTCATTGTTGTGGAAATTGCTCAGCATTCACTCCCATATCGGAAAACTGATAAGGCATAGAAATTCAACATTATTTTCGTTGTTTCTAACGATGATCTTCCTATTTCTTATTACTTTGTTTAGCTTTTGGAAAGTATATTTCGATATTATATCACTATAAACTGGCGCTTACGGATAGGAATGATTCAGTGTGCAGAGATTCAGCAGCTTTTAGTTACCTATGACGGATACGGTCAGTATATTTATCTTTATAAAAGGCAGGATATGTGTGTGTGCGTGTGTGTGTGCGTGTAACGAAAGCACGGCCGCAATTTTCGGCGGATTTGCACCAAAATTTACATGCACATACTCCAAGTTAGCGGGAAAGGCCAAGACCGACTTTGCATTTCCCAACGCCTCATCGATAGTGGAAATAATCGATTTTTTCATGCTTCTACGGCAGTTTTCATGTAGTTTGCGGCCATTTTCTACTGTCCAGAGTAAGAGCCAATAGATGGCTGCCACGAATAGGCAGGAAGATTTTATTGGCTATCGTGAGAGCCAACAGCTGACTGACACGAATGTTAACTAGCATGCAAAAAAAAATTGATAGTTGCATTCGTCAAAAAAAGTGGGAAAAATTTAAATCTGCATGTCACTTTACTCCAATTGTCTCATTCGCTTGCTTAAACTCAACGTTGATTCTGATTCCGCAGAACTGGGTTGGGTGTGAAAAAGTATTTGTTGTTAACATTCTTTTTTGATTTAGTTTTTCCAGTTACGTGTCCTTTTTCAAAGTTGATCGTTTTGTGTTCATTTTGTTGAGTTCTTTTTTCGTAACAGATTTAATGTTTAGTATAGAGCTTTGAAAAAATTCACAGTGTGAGATAGGCTAGAAGTAAGGCATGTAGCAACATCAGCACGGCAATGGGCACTCCTTTAAAGGCAAGGAAGGGCGAAAATATTTTAAGTCAAGTGATAGCGATTGCTGTATGAGTCGTACGATTTTTTAATCAAACACAGGCAACGCCGGGCCATGCTGCTAGTATATATATATATATATATAAATACAGTGCATCTCAAATATCTCTTTAGTATGTAATATAAGTAAATTGAACATAAGACAGCATGCGGTGGGGATACTTTTGTTCAACACTACAAGGTGCAAAAATTGAGCACTTTAAGCCATAAATATAGCATATCTTAATATTTTATCATATATATATATATATATATATATATATATATATATGCCTGTCAAAACATATATATATATTTTTTTATATATATATATATATATATATATATATATATATATATATATATATATATATATATATATATATATATATATATATATATATATATATTTTGACATATATATATATATATATATATATATATATGCAAAGAAATTTAGTTTTATGGTAATTCAAATTATAGGTACTCAGATCAGGTTTTTAAATAGCCTCGTCATATCGAGACTTCTCTATACACTCGCTTTCTCAGATCAATGGCTAAAAATGGCTTAGAAATAAAACTTTTAGTCTTAGTGTGGATCATCCTTCTTTGAAGTATGTGGACTGGCGCTATAGAATCACGAAGAACTTTTACCAAATTAAAAAAAAAAAAACTACGTCACTTGAGGACTTTCAACAGCAGCAACAACTAAAATGAAAAGCACACATAACTTGAAGAGAAAATAATGACATACTCCAGATGTTGACTTTCCACGTTACAGTGAAGAAAAGGTTAGGAAGGAGACCCACCACATTTATACTGGAAATAACAATAACATTTATTGGTCCTGAGAAATCTACTTTCCTGAGAAATTGTTTTAATAGAAAGGTTTCATAAATTTAGACTGTCTGTTCGGTCAATGAAAGTCGAATGTTTCCTTGAAAGTAAAACGACTAATATTGTTATATCTGATGCCTAGTTGGAGAATATTTCTTTCTGTCTTCAGTAGTTAGTTTTTAAACTCATGTAAAAGGTTTGTTTTCAAAGGCTTATTTTCAAAAGTACCGGACTCACACCAATACAACAAACCTTCACAGGGAACCATTTTTGCCCTCCAGTCAACATGGCCGATGCTAACCTCCAAGTGATTAATTCATTGCTTCTTCTTGGTCTCACGTTTTCTATTGACATAAAGTGGAGTGGTTATATTAAATCAGTTGCTTCACTGTATCGTGCCAGACAATTTTTTCTGTCTGAATTTATGGAATGAAGAGTTATCATTATTTACACTATTTACATGCGGACTATTGTCCTCATCTTTGTTGTTGTTATCACAAATTAGAATTGAGTCTCTTGGTTTTCTTTTCCCAAGGCGAACAGCAAAATATAATTGAAGATCAAAACATAGTTATTAACAACACACACTGACAATAATCACTTGGCAGGAAAAAATAAATAAATAAAAACAGATTACGATCCAAAAATATGCAATACAAATCAAAGCCCCTCCCTAAAGAGAATTGAATAAAATAATGCTCTTACCATTTTAGGGTGACTAGATTAGTAGTGACTCTGAGGACAGTTCTAAATCGGGCAGCCCCTTCTAACATACCATCCAGCACTTGCTTATATCCAGTGTCCAAACGGCTCTCAAGTTTTCTCTGGAATCAGTCATCCTGCAGTAGTATGAGGGCATTGTCAACATAATCGTCCCGTTCTGTCTTTTCAATGATTCCTTTCCATTCTTTATCACTGTCTGAATCCTAAAAATAAATTACACAAGAGTCTTAGATGATGCACAACTGACCAGTAATCATTTGCCAAGGTTCTTCAGTTTATAAATATTTACACGGGAGTTGACTTTTTTCTCAGATGAAGACTAAAAAATGCAGTTTGCAAGCAATGACAAAAATAAGGTGTAATGCCAGGAGTTACAAATTGATGAGTAACAATATTTCTTGACAAGCATTTTGCATGCTACCATATTACTTTAGACCTTGCACAGCAAAGTACGACAATTTTCCTCAATTTAGATCAATCTTGGGTAAGTTGCAGAGCCTCAAACCAGTTCATGTTTTTTTTCGTTAGTTCTTCTTTAACAGTAGTGCACAATGTCATTTTAGGATGACTTCTTGGTCTTTTTCAGAATTGAGGAATCCAGTATAGCAACTTTGACTGGACAACTGTCAAGTAATGACTGAACCTCAGCTAACTTTCACAGGCACTGGTTTGTGCAACAAATCCAGGATGCATTTATTTTGCCTTCCATTAGCAGGCTAATGCTAACCTCCAAGAGAGTAACTCATTGCTTCTTCTTGATCTCACATTTTCTATGACATGAATGTGGGAAGATTATAATGAATCAGTTGCTAGATCTTCTGCTAGGTAAGTTGGTTCACTGTGTCGTGCCAGACAAATTTTCTCGTCAGAGTTCATCTTGGACATTTATAAATCTTACCAATCTTATTCAATGCCGCATCGACTCTGGAACTCCGGCTATATATCTCGTCTGTTATATTATCGGTCCTGACCTGGCAACTCGATTTCAGTCACTTTTCCTACCGGCGTGACGTGACCTCCCTCTGTCTTTTCTATAAATATTTTCATGGCAATCGTTCTGATGAGATGAACTGAAGCGTACGACTATATTGGCTATTAGGTCTCATTGTTGAAATAAATGGATGTAACTGCAAGTTCTATTCAAATAGTTTAATTTCTCACACTTCTCACCCGTGGAACTCACTTCCGGTTTCTTGTTTCGCTGAATCAGTCAGTTATGTACCATGCGGGATACACGCTTAGGCGATCATGTATCTTTCGATACATGATTGACGAGGCAGATTTTCTTTCCGCAGTAGGCTGCCATTTCTTTCTGCGGTAGACCTGTTGCCATCCAAAGCTATAGAACCCGGTCTGTCCTGTTATTTACCCATAGTTGCGGGGGGGGGGAGAAGGATTCATACCTTTTCCAATGAGATTAGCACGTAAGTGAATTTAATGGATTCGACTGGAATTCGAAGTCGGCTCTCCGATTCCTCAATCCGAGACGCTACCCATTACTCCAGCGTGTCACCTCCGATAAGTTTTAAATGAAGCATCATTGGCTTTTTTTTTTGCACTGAAAACCTGTTATTTTATTGTCCTTTCTCCTCGCTAAAGTCTTCACAGTCTCGCAGT